ATTACGAATTTGTAAGTTTTTAAAATACCATCAGTTAAGAAAAATAATAGTAATAAAAATGCGCTTAATCGGTATAGATAAAAATTTTTCCATTATTTGTAATGATATTATTATATAGTTAATGATTTGTAAATTTCTACTCGTGCCGATTGTTTGGCATACCACGATCCAATGGTCCATATTTTCAATGGCTCTAATACATAATTGATAATTGTTGTGATTAATGTGCTGAACTATCTCATCTGTTAGCTCTTGAATTGTTCTTAACTTATTAACGTACAATTTTTTTTTAATTCTTTAAGAAAGAGGCCCATGGATGTCAAATCACAAGATCGTGGTGGCCAATTAACATTGCCACAACCTAAGATAACACGGCCGTTGAATTTCTCGTCCAGGTCCATTTCGGCGTATTGACAATGCTTGAAAGGGTCAGTAGGCTTCAGCTTCTGAGTCAAATGAAACTTGTAAACGTTTGAACGCAAATCTTTATTCAAAATTCGCGAGTTTATGTTGACAACTCTTCTGTCACACTATCGGTAACAAGATCAATGTTTTCCGCAGAACGAACTGGGCGAGCATACACAGGTGTTTTGGTATTTCATACAGACCCGGTTTGCTAAAATTAGCGCTCAGTCCTCCCGATTGTGGACACGTCTGGTTGATTTTGCTGACTAAAAAAATCACGAAGTGCACGAAATGCATTTTGATTTTTTTTTTAACGCCCATTTTCGTAAAAGACTTGACAATCTTAAAGCGCTGCTCAATTGTGTACCTCAAATTATTTGGAAAAATGACTTGACGTTAAGGTGTGACTCATAATTAACATCGTGAATTATGGTTAGACCTGCTTTATGTATGTCTTGAAAATGTTTTTTTAAAAAAAATATGTTTATAATAAAGGTGATATCCCCTATAAAACCATTTTTTGAACCCAATATTTTAGTTATTTCCGATTAGTGTAAGACAAATAACCTTCTTAATATTTATAAAACAAAATGGATTTTTTTCCATTCTCATTACAAAATACTTATGCTGCAAAATGTCAATTCATCTCTATTTATTGGCACCATAAATTTAAGTAAAGGAAAATTTTCAACTTTTTTGGTGTTTATTATTGATTTAAGTCCGTCATGTAAAAATCGCACTAGTTTTTTAGCTAGTAAAATAACAAAAAGCATGGAAAAAAAAAGCTCATTATAAGCACACTTTGATCTAATTATGATAGTCGCTCATTCCGTTGTCACATAAATTATGAGAACATTTCGAGGGGGACAGTGCTAAAAAAAGTAAACTTGAACCATAACAGCCATAACAAATTGTTTTTTATCATAAACTTCAAAAAATGATTTTTAGTTATCTCTTTTTCAAATAAAAACTTGAAAAAATTCCCTTTCCTTTCTTTTGAAAACTGTATTTTATAGTTAAATTTGTTGAAAGAAAAAAAGGAAAATAAAAATAAATAAAAATAAAATTAAAAATAAATAAATTAAAAATAATAAAAATAAACAGTTATTACCAAAATTTTAATTTTGCTAAAAAACAGAAATTTTTTAATGCTTTATTTGTTTCACCGTGTTATGAAAAAGTTTAAAAAACAAAACTTCAAACTAATATATATCAAAGAAAATAATTAATAAACATTTTAAAATTTGAATTACATAAAATTCATTTATTATAAAATTTTAGTCTAATTTGTTTTTATCTGTAAGATATTATTTATTAATGCTTCAAAACAACAACTACAACAACAAAAAAAACAACAACAATGAAAAATCATTATAAGGAATATTAGGAATAAAAATTCTATAAATAAAAACTCCTTAAAAGCCAAAACAACTATAAGAATGTATTTTTTTTATTATTTAAGTATCTTTCAAAAGGACATTTTTTTCTTTGCTTTTCGCATAATGAATACAGAAGTTGATTTATTACATATATTTGCAGCTCGGTTTCTGACATATGTTTTACCGTTTTTGTACTGAAAAAAGTTTAAATATAATTATAATTTTTTCTGGTTATTAAGGTGCTCTAAAATGACCTAACGCACAAAGCATCGTGGAAGAGCATTTAATAAGTTAATGCTGCCCTTCCCTCCAACAGTCGCAAATATGATCAGATCAATACGATAAGCGTAATGATAATTTTGTTATTGACACTGATACTTTTATTACTATTTTATTATTTACACTATTTTATTACTATTTTATTATTGAGACTAATAACTTAATTATTTTCACTAATGCAAATTGAGAATGTTTTTTGAAAAATCCTTGCGATTACATCCTAGACATAGACGATGGTTTTCAACGACGTGAGTTAAATAGCGAGATAATTGCGCAAGTTAATATGCCTGAAATTAGTGATTAAAAATCAAAAGAGTATTTAGTTCTGCAGGGTTTGTTGTAAATAACAAGGCGGGTATATCGTAAATAAGACGTCATTAGTTCCTAAGTATATATCGTGCAAAAAAAACAACAACATTATTTTTAATGAAATTTACTATGAGTTTGTTTACATTGGTCATATTCTTTTTATTTTAATACTTTACATTTTCTTTTTTTGTTTATTTGCTAAATTTTCTGCATGACATGCTTTTTATCATTAAACTATTTGGTTTAGAAAGTAGCTATCTTAAGATAAATATATAGATATCTTTTTGTAATTGCGTTTTCATTTAGGTATTTTTACTAGTGTTAGTACCGTGACAATACTAGGTATTTTTGCAGCAGTATTAACATTTATTTTGGACTTCAGTAATTTTATTATAATTGTATAAATTATGAAGACTATTGTTTAATAACACGAGTTAAAAATAAATTATAAGGGTTTTCTTAAGTTCAACGCTTTTTAACTTAAAAGCGATTAAGAAATATTATTTATTAACACTGCGCAAGCTTTAAGACTGTTACAAAGATTATTTTCTAAACTTTAGTTAGCGCACGAAGTGTTCGCCTGTTTTTGTTTTTTTTTAGTAATCATGTGAAATGTCTGTGCCCAGGTTTTTTCAAATAAATTTTTAAACAGAAGTGCTCAAGTTTATATAAATAAATGGCGGCCTAATGAACTGATTAGTAAAACCATTATTTTAAGTGATTTTTTGCTTTGTTTACTAAATATATTAAAATTTATTTAAAATTTTTAGATTTTTAAAATATTTTTTGAAATTAATTAGTTTAACAAGACCTTTTCTATATAATAAACTTTGTTTTTATAAGGTTTATTTTCATTTTTTATTTGCATTTTGTTTGTCTTTTTTAATATATATATATATATATATATATATATATATATATATATATATATATATATATATATATATATATATATATATATATATATATATATATATATATATATATATATATATATATATATATATATATATATATATATATATGTATATATATATATATATATATATATATATATATATATATATATATATATATATATATATATATATATATATATATATATATATATATATATATATATATATTGATATTGTTTATGCATTATATAACAATATATTAAGTATCATTTCTCACGTTTTATGACATAATTATTTAGCTTTGCGTAAATTATTTTAATTTTTTGTTTTATTTTGCAATATGCAAAGTACATTCATTCTTTTATTAAAAAGCTGTATATATTTATATAGTTAAAATAAAATTGTTACGATTCAATTTTTCGAATAAAATTCAAACATGCCATAAGAAAAAAAATCATTTTCTCAATATATTGAAATAATTAACAATCAAAACTGCATTAAAATCACTCAAAATAAAGATATAGAATAAAAAAATGCAGTTAAATTCTTAAAACAATATAACTTTTATATTGATAATATAACACCAGTAAAAAAAGGGTGATAACATCATTAATAATAGTAATAATATTATTTAGTAGTAATAGTTAACATATAGTTAACAATAACAACAAAAATAATTGCAAAAAAAAAAAAAAAAACAGTTATAATAATTTGAATAGTAATAGCAATTAAAATAATAACAAAATTTATTAAAAATGACAATATCAATATTAAAAATGATATTGACAAATGATAGTTTATTCAAAAGAAGAGTAAGTGTGTTGTTGTACACATAAGCAATTTTAAAATCTTACAAAATCTTTTTGGAAAAATTACTAAAACTGACATCAAAAGGTTGAAAAAAGAATTGAATAGCATTATCTTGCTAACATCAGATTTTAGCAAATGGTTAATTGTAGAATAACCTAGATAACATCCAAAAGATGTTTAGTAAATTACTAAAGTAAAATACTTCTTTTTAGAAGAATGCTCTATTGCTCACTACTTCTGCATAGAACATCTTCTTGTTACTCTTTATTGCCAGCTGAAAATGTTTGTTACATTTCATTAACAATAACATTCTGTCTGACTAGAATACCACACAATAAGTATTATAAGGTTATACCAAAAAAAATTAAAGTTTAATAAATACGGTGTTATTTTGAAGTTTATAATAGGTTTATCAACATTTATTATAGCTAATAAAAACTAGATTAATATTAGATCTTTAAAACAAGTAAAAATTAAGAGACTTATCAAGATAAAATTTTGTCTAAAAATCAATTGTACCGATAAATTGTATATAAACCAAAATTGTTCAATTTTTAGTTATTAATTAATAGTTAAATCTAATCTTTTATCACATGTAATGTTAGTAGTTAAACCTCTCTGATTACAACAACATTGTTAGTTGAATCTCTCTGATTACAGCAACATTGTTAGTGAACCTCTCTGATGGTATCAACATTACTATTATTCATATCACAGGTTGAGTTGATTGAGTTTAACCAAGTGCTTCACAACTGATACATTTAGATAAATTCAGACATGTGAATTATTAGCAGATATACTAAAAATTTTTCTCAAATAAAAGATTACCAAATAGTTAAGGATCTTGGGATTCTTTTTTGAGTACGGAAATTGTCAATTTAAGCTAAAAAATTTAAGGCTACTTTTATTTTTTTTTGTTTTTTTTTTTGATAAATACTTATTGGTACATAAATATTTTTCAGACTATTTTATTAAATAAGTTATTATGTAGTTAAGTTGGCACTTTTGTAAAAGTTATCAAGTTATCTTTATACGAGAGTATAAAGATGGAAAAAGAAAAAAGCTCAAAGGATTCCTCACCGGTTAAAACAAAAGTTCTTAAAGAGAATACTGCAATTTCAGAAAAGAAAGGAGGTACTAGGTATGTATGTAAATATTAATAGTTTTTTTTTCAAAAAAGACAATTTTTCTATAGGGTTAAATGGTTAATTAAAATTTAAAAGGTTTTGTCTTTTGCTAATTTTTACTTTAGAATGTTTTCTTTTTTAAATCTTGGATCACATGAATATAAAGGTTGCATTATTATGTTAAAAAGTTACATAATGATAAAAAAAAGTTAAATAATAAAGTTAGTAATAAAATATTAGTAATAAAACAAACAGATGTTACAATGTGCTATAAGCATAGAGGTTTTTTTTTTATAGTTTTTTATGAGTTAAAAATAAAAGATGTCTTTTTATCAAGTTTTTTTTTTCTGGTACAGTAGTAACACCAACTTTTTCTATAATGCTTTTTAATACATTGTTTAAAGGAGAAAGGGCATGATTAATTGACAAAATCCAGATATGATAGCAGTACAAGCCTTGTTATGAGTTTGTTGCATAATGGAAAAGTGTAACTCAATATACTCAGTATTACGTGATATAGGTATATACATCGTTAAGAGTTAAATTTTGTCAATAGCTTATTTTTAATTACCACATTTTAATCAAATTTAATTTGAAAATGCGTTAAAACTCATTTAAAGTCTTTATATTTATTAAATATTTATAAAATATTTTAAAATTAAACAGTATTGTTATAAAAAAAATTATCAAAGAAATTTAAACGTTGTTTGAAAAAAAAAAAAAACATTATTTTTAAAAACTTATACTTATTTGAATTCATACTATTCATTTTTTAAATATTCATTACACAAAATTATTGTCTTATGTTTACTTTTTTACAATATAGTTGCTTTTTTTAAATGAAGGGGCAATTGTTTATTAGTGAATTTCTTAATGGTCAAAAAAAAAAAAAAAACTATCAACAATTTTTTTTTTTTAACATTTTAATAAAATCTTTGCTTAATACTCAAACTAGTTAATCATTTCTAATTGATGTTCATAGTATTATCAATCCAAAAGTTGTATAAAAATTTTATATATATATTTTTTTTAATTTACTTTTTTTAATTAATAAATTTTTTAGTTTATTTAATTAAACTTGATATTTCGTTACAATTTTGTTTCCTTAGTAAATGAGTTTAGCTTTTTGCTGCGAGTTATTGAAACGCCTTATTAGTTAAAAAATGCAAACTTTGTGGTCAATTAGTCTAAAAAATTTACTTTAAACGTGGACAAACAAGGCATGCTTTCAGGGAAGGCCTGATATATATATATATATATATATATATATATATATATATATATATATATATATATATTATATATATATATATATATATATATATATATATATATATATATATATGTAAACAAATAGTATTGCCTACTAAGGTAAGCAATCTGACGTCATACTGAAATAGCCAGCTGCTGGGGGCTTCAGTACATACATCGACTGACAAATAGCCTAACTCGCAGTAGAGTGCTGCTATATTGACTGAGGGTTTGGGATGGGGCAACAATCGTTTCATTCATCATTCTTCGTTTTTTTTCTTCTTTTTCTAAAAAGCGGTATGGGCTAAGGTAAGCAAAAAAAGTGAGCAAATGCTTATAAAAATACTCTTTAGTAAGTATATATATATATATATATATATATATATATATATATATATATATATATATATATATATATATATATATATATATATATATATATATATATATATATATAAAATAGGAGAGATAATAGCCTGAATAAAATTGTCAATCAATAAAAAAAGTAATAAAAATATAGTAAATAAACTGAAAATAAATAGAAAATTGGTAAATCAAAAAGTACCAATTTTCTAACTGATTGCTTTTTAAAAAAAAATTTAATCTACATTATGGAAATAGTTAAATGTTAAATAAACCAAAATCTTTCTATATTTATCATATAGGTATACTTTACTTTATCTATATTTTATTTTGTACTTTATTTTTGAGGCAAAATTATACAGGTTAATATATATTTTTAATATATTATTCACTTAGCTAACAGAAAATAATTTTGATTACAAATTCACTTAGTTAAAAAAAAAACAAAGAAAAAAGTTAAATAAAAAAAAAAGAGAGAATAGTTTAAAAACTGTTAACTGCACAGTTGAGGGAAACCTGAAGACAGGACTTTTAATGTATTTTGTTTGGGGTAAAAAGCTAGATTTATAAAAGTTTTTCGAGCATAATGTAACAGTAACAGTAAAAGGATACAACTTTGCTAAATGATAAGTCATGTGAGATGACTTATTATAGAAAAAAATAAATAGAAATAAGAAATAAATATAAAAAGATATGACAAATGCGACAGAAGCACAAGCTTGGGAACTAGAACAGGTCCAACTACATTTACAATGTGTTTTTAGATTATGTCTAAAAGAAAATGAGGTAGATAGAATCAAAATCTATTTCAGCGTTTGAAGTTTTGTGTAAATTGATGACCTGATAATAAATCATTGTCTTAAGTGATTGCGTAATGTAAAAGACATAGTATATATCTGCAATTTACTAGTCTTGTAGCATATAATTTTGCCTTGTCTCCTGGCAACGCAGGATCAATTCCTATAGAGTGCATATGTTTTTTGTGTGTACTTTTATGTTATATTTTAAATTGTTTAGTTCTATTTTTATGCGTAATGTCTATGATTGTTGTTAATAAAAAGTTATATTATTTATAAAATTTTGTTTATTATAAAAATTAGGAAGTGTGCGCGCATAGACTGACTTAAACATGTAGAACATTCAGGGAGTGTTGATACATTGACAGACTAAATAGGTAGAGTGTGCAGGGATTGTTCATACATCGACTGACTAAATAGGTAGAATATGCAGTGTGTGTACATACATTGACTAAAGGTTTCTTTTTGGGCAGGCAATAAGTTAAAAAAATAGTTTGTGTTAAAAAGTGTTTAGAAATTAAAGCAAACACTTATTTTATTATATTCCGGTCATCAATTTACAAAAAACTTCAAACGTTGGAATAGGTTTTTAATTCTATCATCTACCAGGAAATGAGCATAATTAGAAAAACTGACCCAAATATGTCAACAGTTTTTCATAAAAGAATGAAAAAGAGGATTATCAATTTCAAGATTGGCTGTTTTTTCTAAGCAATTAAATTCTGATAAAGTTTTTGACCAAAATATGACTGTCTCATCTAATAAATAGAGCCACTCTAGGGGTAAAGTTAGGAGATTTGGGGTAAAGTTAATGGTAAAGTTCTCTTTTCACTCTAGAGGTAAAGTTAGGAGATACATATCATTAAGAACAAGTTACTCAGAAGTGAAGATGAGCATTCATCATCCAAGGCAGGAAACAATCTATTATCTATTTAAATTTAGCTTTAAATCTTTGTCAGCCTATTGATGAAAAAGGAGTGCAAGGCTGGACTACAAAAAATTTTGGCTTACCTTTAAAGTTTTTGCACAGAAAGTTTTCTACAAAGCAGAATGTTTTTCTGTTGTTTTTTTTAATAAAAAATAAAAGCATTCTGAATATATTTTTTTTTAATAATTACATAGATCAACTGACAAATAGGTAAAGCATGCAAGGAGTACTGCTACATTAACTGACAAATAGGTAAAACATGCAAGGACTGTTGCTACATCGACTGACAAATAGATAGAACATGCAAGCAGTGCTACTACATCAATTAAGGGTTTTGGTTTTGTCTTTATTTCTTGAACATTTATTAACAGTTTTTCAAATAATAATGATTTTTTATTTTTAAAAAGTCAGTGAGTAATAGACTTATGATGTTATATAAAAAAGAAAAATATGTTATTAAGACTTGTGTTATTTAAACAATTTTAATGTACACTTTTGTTTTTAGTATTTTGTGCATATTTTTAGTGTTTAGAAAGGTTTTTATTTCTAGCAAAATAAATTTAAAAAAGTGGAGTAAAAGCTTTTTAGGTTTAAATAGTAATTCCAGTGAAAAAGTAAAATTTAATATTGAACAATATATAATGATAGTTGGACTAAAATTTAAAATCAATCAGGTTTTGTCTAAGTATTACATGGTCAATTATGAGAAATATATTTTTTATATAGGCTAGCTCAGGGGTTCCTAAATATTTACTTAGGAGGGTCAAATTCTAAATTTCAAAATAATTGGTGGGTCAAAATAGAAAAATGTTTTTAAAAAAGTCATAATATATGTATAATATATATCAGGCTTGGTCGGGAAGCGGGTGCAATCGCACTTGATAATTGACCACAGAAATAATATTTGGTTGCGAAAAACCGACCAGATTTTTTAGTCGTTTTGAGAACATTTTAAAGCAAACAAAAAAGCGCAATTAAAGACTTTCATAAAGGGTGGTTTAGGCATATGAGATTTTGACGCCATCTTTATAGGGGATAAATGCACATAAACAAAACCAATCCCAGTTGTTCAGAGAATGTTTTTTTCAATTAAGAAGATACAATGGATAATTTTAAATAAAAAACAATTTTATAAAATGATTTTTAGACCATTGCTCATCTACAAATTGCACCTTACGCGAGTTGCAGATCAGAATATATAAATTTAAACAGTATCCTTTCCGTGCATAAAAACCAAAATAAAAGGCATAATGACGTTTTGTAGTCGAAGTTTTCTTGGATTCTACAAGCATTCCGCCTTCAAATATCTCTTTAATCAGAGAAGACTCAATGTATCATTCTATAACTTCATCTATTTTTAAAAATTATACTTTGATTATAAGAAAAAGCAGTTTAGGACAGCCAGAAAAACTGTGACTTTTAAAACGGATTTTAGTTCACCTGATGTTCATGTTGCTTGTTAGTTATAAAAATCTTATGGAGAAAAATTCTTCCTGCTGTAGTTTTATTTAAAAATAAGATTCCACCGATATTTTATTTTGAATTGCTGGTTTCAATAATGTTATTTTTGAATTATTGGTTTCAAAAAATGTTGATGTCATTTTATTGTTATTATTTATAAAAAACTTTCATGAAGCAAAAGAAAAAATATCATGATTTCAAAAATGATATTGTCAAAGTAAAAGGTTTATTTTCTATGACCCTGTCTAACCAAATCAAACATATATTAGTACGCCTTGCTTTTAAAAAAATGAACACAAAACATTTATTGCCATAAACCTAGAAAATTAGAAATTCCAGAGAGATGTTATAAAAATAAAATATCAAGTCAAAAATGAAGGAAACAAACTTTTGAATTTTATTGTCACAATGTTTTATCTTCACGTGTAAAATCTTCATCACTATCTCTACTATCCCTTTATAAAAATGTCTTCTATTTGATGCTTTTTCTTTATAAAAATGCGTTGTTATTATATTAAAGAAAACTAAACTTATAATACTAACTTCTTCAGATCACAAAAAGTTTATTGTGAGAAATAATATTATTTGCATGATGGAAAAAAAAAATTGTACTGCTAGAAAATCTACTAAAAACATTATTTTATTAAAATTGTTATATAAATAATAACAAGAAATGTGTTCAAGCAAAGAAAAAAGTTTTCTATCCCTTCAACTTATTTACAATGATATTCAGCAATATATACAAAGAAATTTAACTGAAATAAATACTACCATTGAGAAAATATACATAACTGATCCTATTAAATATATAGATTATAATAAAATTTAGAAAAAATCAGACTCATGGCTAAACAAAGTAACTTGAGTCGAAATTCTTGTTGTGCATATTGTGGAAAAAATTCAAAAACTTAATGTACCACACTAGTTTTCACTATCTGGTATTAAATAGTATAGATATGTAAATATTGCTGAAAAAATACAACTTCCATGTGCTGAAATACCATTATACATCAAATACCATAATGCTTATTCTGTTTGTGTATTATTATAGTGAGGAAACTCAAGAGTGCTGAAATTAAAATTTGCAGTTTGAAATTGTGTTGAACTTTTTGAAATTGTGCACAGTCTATAGTCAAATATTTTGCGAATTCTTTTTCGATAAATAGGATAATCTGGTTAAAGTACAACATTGCCAAACAATGGTACAAAATACTATCCATGCAACAAAAAATATTAATTGTGCATTTGGAAACTGGTAAAGCATGGGCCATAACAACCAATGCATTAAAAATAAAATAATTTAGTTATTTTATCTATAGCTCAATTACCAGTGCCTTTACAATCTTAATACACAATAGTAAATATGGACTAGTTGTATCAAATAAAACATTGCAGTTGGATAAAAGGTATTTTCATTATAACGGATTATTTTTGATTAATGTATTAGGTTTTAATAACTTTGTTGATAAAGATTTACTTTTCACTTTTAATAATAATTGATTATTAAATTTTGGGAGAACTTTTACTTTTATAGACTCTAATTTTATTTTTCTAGTATCTTTCTGCATTACCTTAGTCTTTTTTTAATGGTTTATTTTTTTACAATGAAAAAAAAACGAAACTAAATTATTTCGTCTATTTTATTAAGATAAGATATTTTAAAATTATTCTTTAAGAAACCTTTGAGATGATAGGAAATAGTAGGAGGAGTTTCTTGAAGATTTGGGTTGTTAGCAATATCTAGTTTTTTTTGTATATCAATTCTATTTATATCTATTGGAAGGTTTTGGTTTGTGAATGATTAAAGAATTAACTAATAATAATTAATAACAGATTAAATTAATCAGTTTGAATTCAATCTTTCATTTTTTGCATAAACTTTTATGAATAACATACTGTATTACTGATATAGATTATAGATTATAGATGTTACCTATATCTGAACTTTAATCTTCATAAAGTTAATCCGTTCAACCAATTTATGGAAGTTAAGAAGATTAAACTAAAACAAAGTATTATTTAATAATACTTTATTAAGTCCTATCTCCTTTTTATTGTACCAATGTAATTGTAACATAAATATGAAGTATAAAACCACTTTATATTGTTAATATCTTTGTAATAATAGTTATTTCAACCAAAAACACCCAAATTTTGACAAAATTTAAAACAAAGAAAAACCTTTTATAATTAACTAAACAAAGCCACCATTTCGTTCATTTATCCCCTATGAAAAAGTCATACATAAAAACCACATGCTGTGAAAGTCCCTAATAAGATTAACTGGACCGATGAGAAACAGTTAAAAAAAATGAAAATAGCTTTTAATGCAAAAAAACTTTAAGCAAAATAAATTTATTTGAGCAATTATTTTTGAAATGTCGCTTTTTTATAATTTTTTAAAATAAAATTAAGCGACATTTTTTATATAAAGTAACAACTATAAAGAAACAAATGTTCTTTGATTTATCAAAGAGTATATATAACTTTTATTTATATACCATTCGGTATATTTTATTATTATTTTTTTAGTCATTTTTACGCTGTGGCACATAAAAAAGATTGCCAAAATAATGCAGCCCCAGGCCCTGAAAAGTTTAACAATATTCAACCGATAAAACTAACGCTAGATGATTTATTTATAAATAAAAAAGTTTTTTCAATAACTGTTTTATGCTTCACGTAGTTTAAAAAGTTTAACACATTTGAAACAATTCTTTTTAGTAAGTTGAACAAATGAAATAATTAAATCATTGAGTTACTGTAGAAATTCAATTAGCTAGATAGAAATTAACTAAAAACGTTAAATTACTTTGTGAGGAGGAAGCGGAACAATACCGCTGATGATGTTTAGTGAGTGGGCTTTATAATTTTAATTAGTATTTAAAACAGAAAAAAGTAACTTAAGTATATATAATAACGAGTTTGTAAGAATGGCTGAAGCAAAAATAATTGAAGTTAGTGAACCAATTTCTGAGAACTTAAAAACTTTTTTTTCTTGGGGGAAAGAATCAGTTATCGGGTACACTGAGGAAAATGGATTAGTGGTTAAAATTATTTGTATTAACTTTGACAATTATTAATAATTTCATTGAAAACGCAGTTATTATTGAAATTATTTTTGTTTACAAAATCAATTGCACAAATTACTTTAAAAGATTACATTTGAATAAAATACACATACATAAACTTACATAGATAAATATACATTACATACATGAAAATACATTACATACATAAAAATACATTAAATACATAAAAAATACATCCCTTATATATAAAAAATAAGAATATACTAATAAAATCTATAATATATTTAAAACATTATTGTAAACAAATAATGTTAGTTTAAAACATTTATAGCTTTGTCGATGTGGTTCCAAGAATTAAAATAATAGATCGTTTGATAGTATATTCTTAAAATAGTTTATGCTAGAAATCTCAACGAAAACGTAACAAAATTCAAATAATACAATTTTTAAAAATATTTCAGCAAAATTCTCAGGACATTTGGTTAGTATTTTTTGAATACTCTAGGAATTTCGGTTAGTATTTTTTGAACCAATTGAATTAGTTGTTCGTAGATTTGGCTGTTTTTTTGTGTTCGCGAATATTCTTTTTTGATTTTTCCGCACTAAAATGTTTGAGAACATTCAAGTTTATGTATGTTTCCATGTAAGTCCGTAAAATAAAATATTTCAAAATTTACGATAAAATGAGCTTATTATTTTGCAGACAAACAAGAAAACATACATAAACTTGAATGTTCTCAAAGCGACTAAAAAATCTGGCTGGTTTTTCGCAACTAAATATTATTACCGTGGTCAGTTATCGAGTGCGATCGCACCCGCTTCCCGACCAAGCCTATATATATATATATATATATATATATATATATATATATATATATATATATATATATATATATTCAATTATTGCTATGTGATAACTTTTTTGAAGATGTTGTCAAGATTTTTAATTGATTTAAATTAGTGATTTCCAATAGAGAAGTCAAACAATTTGTATTCACTCAGCATCAGCAGACTGCTGATGCTGAGGAAAATTGATTTCCTCCAGAAAATATTTTTTTAACTATCCTCTAGAGTAGCTATTTTTAACTATGTAAAACACAAGGCTTATAGTTTTTCTATAAGTTATATAAACATGTAAACACAATAATTGTTCTTAAAAATCATTGCTTATTCAGGAAAATAAACATGAAATAGCTATTGGCATTTGGCTTGAGCTCACTTGAAGCGAAACTGTGTTTTATATAAAAATATGAAATATTTTTAAAATCAAAGTATCAGATTTTACTTTGGAGTTTTGCAGGCACAGTTTAAAAGCTAGAAGACTGCATTTAGCCAGCGGGCCACACTTTAGGAACCCCTGGGCTAGCTTTTTAGGCATACATGCTTTTAATGAACTGTCAAGTTAATTAAGAGTTTGTCAAGTAATCAATCATTATATAGAAACCAGGCAACTAAGGTTTTAAGAGTCATGCTAAGTTAGAATAAAGTTAAAAATGTTTTATTGCTGGCTGTTGCTCTATTTCTGATACCTGAACAAATTCTCAGTGGCTCTTAGTGGCTGGTGAATTTAAATTCAGATGGACCTGCTCTATTTGCTAAGCTTGAGCCTCTCTCCCATCTTACGATGATATTGTGTCTCTCTTTTCTACAAATACTATCATTTTTGTTTGAATCGCCATTCAGTAAGTCTGATCTTTTTATTGTATCTGCTCCTGCATGCTCTTAAAACCTTTATTAATCCAGTTTTTTTTCCCTCACACTTTTTCACTTTGGAACACTCAGCCTTCATGTTTTTCTGACTCATAATACCTTCAACTTTTCAAAACCCGCACTATTCAAAAGATTGTGCAGCTCTTTTTGCAGGCTTGCACGAAAAAAATTAAAAATTATGCAAGAATCCCATAATGGATTTTTAAGATTTAAGAATTAATATTAATGGGTTAAAAAATATATATATTAATGGGTTAAAAAAAAAAAAGGGTCAAGATGTTTGTCGGAGTGAAACTGATATGGTGCTCTTTGAATTAAAAGAAAATTTTATTTCTATTTTATAGATTTTTAAATTCTTTTTTAGGGTTTTCAAGAAATCTACTCCCAATGGAAAGGTATTTTTGAGTTTTCTTCATATAAATTTTCTAACTTTAAAATCTTTTATATTTTTATTTCCTGATTAAATGAAAATCCTGATTATAATATTTTTAAAACTATTATGTTTCCAATAATTAAAAAAAACTGATTTTATATTAAGTAAAAAATTATTGAAAATTATTTAAGTTTGAAACTGTGAATTTCTGATTTTAATTTTATTCACATAAATTACAAGAAGTCGGAAATTTAATGTCATCATTTATTCTATGTTGTTCTAGTTTTTTAAAACAATACTTATATTCGATTTAAATGATTGGTTAATAGATATTTATCTATATACGTCAGAAATATCAGTTTATAGTTTATTGCATACAAAAAAATGCTAGTCAAAATCTTATTATTGAGCATTTTTTAATTTGTCACATTTTTGTCACCCTTGGATAACAATGTTTTCTCTATTATTGTTTTTTAATGCCATACGCGAAATGTCTGTAGTAAGAATGTAAGTGGAATCACACTAAATATTTTGTGCATATTTATGTCATATAAACACTTTAATACTTATAGAATAATTCTTTTGATTAAATTTTAGAGAAGTTCTAAATAAAATGATAAGGCTTTGTGTTAAGAGATTTTTATGGTAGGTTTATATAGTAAATCTTTATTTTATGTTTAATAAAATTTATTATCCCTACATAATTTAAACTTTGCCATATAACAAAGTATTACAATAATATCATAAAAAGTTAAATTTTATTTAAGTTGAGATGTTACACAAAAAAAATCCCATATTGTGTGATTTTTTTAAATAATGTGTAAAAATAGTAAATTGTAACAAATACATTAAAATGCATAATGAAAACAAGCATAATTTCTTAGCATGAACATCTTATTCAAATAAGTTTATAAAATATGTTTGATACACTACCTTTTGCAATTTTATGAAACATGCCACAATCCAAATTAGTAAATGTAAAAGTGTTGTTTGAAATTTTTACAGGAGAAGTAATGGCGTCAAATGCAAAAAAAAAAAGAAAAGAAAAAGCAACAAGTTAAAAGTAAACCTTCTGGTTAATATTATTTAAAATGATAGCTCTTATATGTCCTTTCCTGTTGCTTTGCTATTTGGTTATATTGTACTGTATAGGGTTAACCAAGAAATTTTTGAACAAATTTTTTGTTTATTAGCTTCTAATAAATATGACCTAGAAATAGAAATAGAATAGAAATGCCAAAAAGATTTTACAACAATTTTACAAGATTTTTCTTCAAATGACTTGTTCCAATCAATATTTACCATATATTGAATAATTTTTTTAAAATAACTCCAAGTAAATGTTGATATTTTTAAATATGTTTAAAAAAAAAAAGCCGGAAATTAAATTAAAAGTAAAAAATATATATTTTTTATATACTGTACAATGTTTTGTAAAAAAGTTATTTAAAATTCAAAAAAAAAATTAACATGATTTTATTCTATAAATCTAAAAAATGAAGTGTTATCATAAATGATGCCATGTGTTGAATGTATAGAGTACGATGCACTTTACACAATTCAAAAAGATTTAGAAATAATTGCAAAGTAATTTAAGTTTAATTTAAGTATAAACTCCACCTTATCATTAGTTATTATAATAAAAGAATCTTTAAACTTTTAACACAAGTCATCTTCGAGGATATCAAGAAAAAAGAGAAAAAAAAATGTAATATTTATATTAAAGTATACACAGCTACAAGGATATTGATTAAAAAAAACATTTATCATTTAGATTACAGTATACATTGGAAAGCGTGATTTTTATGATCACATTGAGCATTGTGAACCAGTTGATGGCGTTGTACTTGTTGATCCAGAACATGTTAAAGATAAAACAGGTAAAAATAAGTATATCAAGGTTACCGATCGCGCTCAATTTTTTTGTATATTCATTTTTTGTATATTCATTTTGTATATTCATTAATATTTTTGTAAAAGTTGTTTATATAAAACTTTACATATAAAAGTACTTAACTATATATATAAAAAAAACTATATATATATAAAAAACTATATTTATTAATAAAATTAATAATGGGGCTCACAGTGGCTGGTGAACTTTAATTCAGTAAAAACTCAATTTTTTTCAGCCAATCGTTATCACAATAATTTAGACCTTCCTATATTTATGAACGGTAATGTACTCGATGAGTCATCTACCCTTCGTCTTCTAGGATTAACTCTTACTTCTGATCTTTCTTGGAAACCTTATATCAAATCCGTTGCAAAATTAGCAACTGCTAAAGATGCATCTCTTTATCAAGCTCGACACTTTCTTACTCTAGATTCTATTCTCCATCTCTAAAACTATATATATATATAAAACTATATTTATTAATAAAATTACTATATATATAAAAAAAAACTTTGCTAATAAAAATTTATCCTAACAACGCTTCTGTCAATCAAAAAAAAAAAAAATTCTATATATATATTTTATTTGTATGCTTTATTTTTACCAAAGTATCTTAACTAATATATATATATATATATATATATATATATATATATATATATATATATATATATATATATATATATATATATATATATATATATATATATATATATATATATATATATATATATATATATATATATATATATATATATATATATATATATATATATATATATATATATATATATATATATATATATATATATATATATATATATATATATATATATATATATATATATATATATATATATATATATATATATATATATATATATATATATATATATATATATATATATATATATATATATATATATATATATATATATATATATATATATATATATATATATATATATATATATATATATATATATATATATATATATATATATATATATATATATATATATATATATATATATATATATACTATGCTGTTCTTGTTTCTTAAAACAATACTTATATTCAATTTAAATGATTGGTTAATAGATAATTATCTATATACGTCAGAAATAGTTATCTATATACGTCAAAAAAAGTTTGCTAAACCTATCATTCACTAATATTCGTGGTCTTCGAAGTAACTTTTTTTCTAAGTCTTACCTCTTGCAAAGTTCACCAGTCCTACTTGCTCTTTGTGAGACTAATTTGAGTTCAGCTGTCTTGTGATCTTAGTGTTGATGGTTATCTCTCTTTAATTCGTAAAGACTCCCATAGTCACATGCTTGGCCTGGGCATTTACATTCGTAAGAATTAACCCATTTGTTGGAAAACTAGGTTTGAATCCACAAACTACTCTTTTATGTGCTTTCATTTAGCACCACTTCACTCTATCACCTTTCTCTTTGTTCTATATCGCTCTCCTTCATCTCAAGCCTGCGCTCTTCTTCATTCACTGTTATTTCTGATCATATTGACTAAGCCCTCTCTATTTATCCATCAGCTAATATTGTTGTTGTCGGTGACTTTAATGCTCATCACACTGAATGGCTTGGCTCTAGTGTCAGTGACTCTGCAGGCATTAAAGCCCACAACTTTTGCCTTTCTCAATCCCTAACTCAAATAGTCAACTTTCCAACTCGCTTTCCAGATAACCCGAATCATTTACCTTCTCTACTCGACTTATGTCTTGTTTCTGATCCTAGTCAGTGCTCAGTTTCTCCACATTCACCCTTAGGTGCTTCCGATCATGGTTTGATCTCTCTAAAACTATTATCTCATTCTTCTTTATCATCAGAATCCCCCTATCATTGTACATCTTACAACTACCTCAAAGCTGACTGGGACTCTTTCCTTGATTTTCTTTGTGATGGCCCTTGGGTAGAAATCTTTCATCTTCCTGTTGAGAAATGTGCTTCTTACATGTGCTGCTGCAATTGCCAATCGAAACCATTACTTCCATATCTATCAGCAAAAAAATTCTCCAGAAAACAGACGTCTGTTTATTACTGCTAGGAACCATTGTAAAAAGGTTTTGTCTAACGCCAAAACCCGCTATTCTCAGATCATGAAATCTCGTATTTCATCACAAAAATTAGGCTCTCGTGACTTCTGGAGAATCTTTAATAGTATCAATAATAAGGGCAAGTCTGTAATTCCACCTCTTTTGTATGGTTCAGTCTTTGTCACCTCACCTAAAGACAAGGCTGAATTGTTTGCTAAAAACTTTTCATCAATATCATCTCTTGATTCCACTAGTTGCGTTCTACCTGATATAGCTGTCAAACAGGTTGATCCATTGCTCGACATTGTATCACACCAGCTTTTGTATCTAAAGTGATTTCCTGCTTAGACTCTTCTACAACTTGTGGCCCGGACAACATACCTGTTATAGTCTTGCAAAAGTGTTCTCTGGAGCTGTCGTCTATACTTTTAAAACTATTTTACAAGTGCTTATCAGAGTCTTGTTTTCCAACCTGCTGGAAAGCAGAATCTGTTATCCCTATTTTTAAAAATTCTGGAGAGCGATCCGATTCGTCAAACCACTGTCCCATTAGTCTTCTTCCTATCATAAGCAAAGTTTTTAAATCTTTAATTAACAAACACTTAATCTCTCATCTTGAATCTAACAACTTACTTTCTGATCATCAATATGGATTTTGATCTTCTCCTTCTACAGCTGATTTGCTAACAGTAATAACCAAAAGGTTTTATCGTGCATTAGATAAAGGTGGAGAGGTTAAGGCCATCACTCTTGACATTTCTAAAGCATTTGATAAAGTTTGGCATGCTGGTCTTCGCCATAAGCTTTCTTCTTATGGTGTATCTAGAAACATCTTTAAGATTATTGAATCCTTTCTTTTCAATCGTAGTATAAAAGTTGTCCTTGATGGACAGCACTCTTCTTCTTATTTTGTAACCTCAGGGG